AAAACTCTTTGCAGACTGACCAATTTGGTCTTCTTCCTGTCCCTCACACACAACATTCTATGTCTAGTACCAGCATTTTTACCCAGGCTGGTCCCCATGTTTGGAATGCACACACTTCTCACCTCTGCCTCTTTAAATCCCCTAGTTTTCTGGCTCAGCTCAAGCATCACCTTCCACATGAAGCCTTTCCTGATCCCCCACATGCTAGGAACCTCCCTCCCACATAAATGTCCCACCTTCCACTCCCTCCAATTACCTTGCATTTATTTTGTTAAAATTATTTACATAAATGTTCTCTAGGCAATTTTTGTCTTTGTACCCAGGACCAAGGACAGTGCCTGGCACTTAGAGGCACTCAGATGTTTATCCACAGATTATTTACATACATTATCTCATTTGTGTGGTACAAGAATTATTTTGAAAATGAGGAAACTGAGGCCCAAGAAGGTCTAAGAGTAGGGACAATATTCAGGTCTGGAAATCGTTTTATGCTCAGAATGGGTTCAGATATTGAAGTAATTCCATAGTGTGACTGCAGCATTCATTGCTAGGCACTTCCTCTGGATGATTTTGTCTCTAATTAACTCAAATTTCATTCTTTTTACCTACTTACCAGTAATAACCATCCCTGCCTTCAATTTCTTTTGATAGAATAAAGCTCCACTGAATTTCCCTCATGGCTTCTGGGCTAAGAATTTGATATTTTAGGTGTTGAATTTTTTTCCTTCCCTACCTTCTTTTGACTCTAGCTATAGACATCACCTGACTGAAAATTACAAGAAAAGGAATCTTCTTCACACATAAAAGGAAATATTCAGGAAACCAGGAATACCAACCACAGCTTAATTACAACCTTTTACCAAGGAATCTCTATGCCAAAAATTTAAATTGCGGTTCAACCTTACTTTTCTGGTGAAATGTTTGGAAACAAGATAATGGGTTAGATTTCAGCATTTCAGATGGGAGTTTTTTCTGTTATTTAAGAATGAAAAGCCCCAAAATTCTGTGGGTTTGAGTCCAGTAGTAATGTAGATTTGCTCAGATACCCACCAATTCACTCAATTTTTCCCAGACCATACCCCATACCTTTAATATTCTGGCTTTGTCCCAGGGGACTGACAAGCTTCTCTATCACCAGTCATAGGAGATCCTGAAACCCTGACTCTTCTTGTACTAAAAAAGTTCATAGCACTTAGTGTGTGACCACTGAATGGAATGAGGGGAGGGTGTGGACAGAGAAAGGCAACATAGTTAAGGTGATGTCACTGTTAGAGAGGTCACCAGGGTTGAGCGAGGCCCAGCCACAGAGGAGCTCACCAGGGGCACAACCAAGAAATAGGATTGGCTAGGAAGTTCCCAAGGAGTTCATAACCTTTTTGTGTGTCCTCGACCTCTTTGGCAGTCCAGTAAACCCTATAGACCCAATAACGTTTTTAGATGCAAAAATAAAATACGTGGGATTACAAATGAAACCAATTATACTGAAAAACAGTTATTGAAATATTTTTTAAAATCAGTTCATGGATTCTATGGATTCCAGGTTGAGAAACCCTGCTCTAGGAGTATCCCTATTTTAACTAATTTTTCTGGCTATCTAGGTACTCTGTAAGAAGCTAAACCAGTAACTCAGTTGTTCCTAAACTGCTAAAGGAATACAAGTGAAATCAGTTCCTGAGACAAAGCCCTTGTCACCCCATCCTAGTTTTATTTATCTTCTTCTATTTAAATACTCAATAGCCATGATCCATAATGGGTTCACAGGATTCTGAGACAGGAGGTATACTAGAGATCACCTAGCCTAACCCCTTTCATTTTACATTTTACTGAGACTCAGAGGTATTAAATATTTCCCCTCCAAGCACTTATAACTTGCACATAGCCCTTTACTTATATTTACAAGTCTATTTTTCCATGCATTTAGTCCCTATAACTTTCCAACGTTTTGTCCTATCACCCTCATATCCTTTTTTAGGTTCATTCACATGATATCTTTTTGTCAGTCTGAAAGTTTGTTTTTTTTTCAGGGACCTCTTCTTCTTAACTTGATCTATATGGCACAGGGCCTGCAGCAAAAGCTTACTAAATGCTTGTGGCTGACTGGTTCATTCATTAGCTAAAGACCTCTTGGGTGGTAGGCACAGAGGCCAACCAGTACATAAAATAATACCTGATATTTATATATGCTTTACAGTTTGCAAAGCTTTTAGTATACATTCTATCACCTGAGCTTTACAAGAATTTTGTGACATCGGAAGGTACTGCAGATATCATCATTATTCCTTTTTTACAGATGTGGAAACTTAGGCTGAGAGAGGTGCAGTGACTGACTAACCCGTGGTAACATAGTAAGAGATAGAAATGCATATCTTCTCAAAGTCCAGGACTTCATCCACTATGGCACAAGCATCTTAGCGATGCAACTGTGCTCTCAAAAAAAAAAAAAAAAGGTTTACTTGCTTTCCAGGTTCCTTCCATTCGCTGATGGAGTAGCACCGGCCTAAGACTCAGAACACTTATGGGCTTGAATCCCAGCTCCATCTGTGTTCTTGTCATTTGGGATTGTTCTGAGCCTCTAGTGAGGAAATGCATAGGAAAGGCTCTACAAACTTAAGACATTATATCAAGCCAGGGATGATGATGATAAAATTTCCATGTGACTTCTATATGTGCCCCACAAGGGTCTCAAATCAATGCACTAGTTGCTTTATGATCTTATCTGATCCACAGATGGGGGAAGGGACAAACAAATTGTAGGAATGAATGTAATGGACTCTTACTAGTCCATAAAAGACAATGGATTAGAAGAATTAATTCAGAGAAGCACTGGAAGATTTATATGAACTGATACAGTATAGAACAAGTAGAACCAGGTAAACAATATATGCAATCTCTACAACAACATAAGTAGGAAACACTATGACAACAATAAAGCCTAAACACTGTGTCATTATAATGACAAAACAAACCAAAAAACCCAGAAGTTGAATGCTGTATAAATTTTGTTCCCGAAAAAGAGATGAAGGGAAAAGTACTTTCCTTCCTTCATTAGAGAAGAAGGGGACTGTGGGTATAGAAAGCTGCAAATACTGTCAAATGTAGTTGATGAGTTAGTTAGTTTTGTTGAGTTGTTTTCTTTTTTTTTTAATTTCCCTTTCTTTTCATATTTTTTTTTACAAGAGATAACTCAATGAGTACAATATATTTGGAAATGGAGCTGGTTGGTTTTGTTGAATTGCTTTCTTTTTTTAATTTCTTTTTCTTTTTATATTTTGTTACAAGAGATGACTCAATGGGTATGATATGTTTGGAAATGGAAGTGATATAAAAATAAACAATATTACTACAAATTTTTTTAAAAATTAAGATCTTATTTAGGTAGGCCCTGGTCTGGTAGCTGTTAATCAGTTGATTAACAGATCAAGTTAATCTGAAGAGGTCCCTGTTGCCCTGACAGTACTTTCAGATTTATTTTTCTAAAAATTGGCACAGATGAACATGTAAAGGTCATGCAATGGAACAAGACAAACGCTGAATAGCTACCAGAATTAAATGCATGATAAATGGACTTGTAAATACAAGCAAAGTATATATTGTAAATACTACTGTTGAAGCATCATATTCAATAATATAATTTAAAAGAAGCTTATTTGGACAAATAAAAGGTTGGTAGGCCTGGTCTCTTAGCTTAGTTCCTTTTCAAGCTTGGCCCTGCTTAGAAGGAAGGAAATCAGCATTTATTAAATACTTACTACATAGCCAAGCATTGTGCTAAGCATTTTACAAATATTAATTCATTTGATCCTCATAGCAACCCAGGGAGAGAGGTGTTATTATTATTATCCTATTTTACAGTTGAGGAAACTGAGACAAACAGAGGTCAAGTGACTTGCCCAGGTTTAAACAGCTAGCAAGTATCTGAGGCTAGATTTGGACTCAAGTCTCCTGACTCCAGGCCCAGCACTCTATCCACTACATCACCTACCTGCCTCTACTTGAGCAGCATGGCTTCAATATAGGCACAAAATAATATGCAGGAGCATTGGAGTTTGACAAACTGTCCGTGGCTTTTTACAAGGGTGTTTTGGGGCTGACGGCATGCCCATATTCCCATAGGTAAGTAGTAACAACAGCAGCAATAGCTCATGTTCATATGGCCTAGCATTTTTCAGGTTACACACATTGTCCTCTTGATTCTACACACATTGTCCTCTCGATTCTCACAATAATCCTGTGAGGTAAGTCCATTTTACAGATGAGAAAACGGAGGCTTTCAGCAGTTAAATGACTTGTCCAAGGTCACATAGCCACGAGGCAAAATATCATGGCTCGGTGTAAAGGGTACAGAACTAGGGATCATAAGACCCAAGTTCTAATCGTATTATGCCTCTGTCACTCACTGTCTGTGTGACCTTGGGCAAGTATCTGGACCTTATCGCCCTTATTTGTAAAAGGAGGAGGTATGACTTCTAAGGTCTCTTCCACATAAAACCCACGTCTTTTTTTTCTCAATGTTGTAGTTGTTTGACTCCAACTACATCAATATTTTGTAACAGCTTTCTATATAAGCTGTAGCAGCATGTGAAAATGGTAAGATATGCCAGAATGATTTTTCTCTGGGCAGTGAGGCAGGTCAAGGTTTGTGAGGCTGCTCTACCACATCACAGGGAGAATGGATCCTTATATGTCGAGCCCCATCACACATGGTACAGTGGAAAAAACACTGGGTCTGGACTTAGAGGCACTGAGTTCAAATCCTATCTCAGATACTATCTGCATGACCTCAGGCAATTCATTAAACCTTCCTGGGCCTCAATTTTCCTCATCTGTGAAATGGATGGATTGGGCTAGACAGCTCCTGAGGTGTCCTCCAGCTCAGAAGCTATGATCTTGTGATCTCCAAGCTAGAAGCTGGCTCCCACTGAAAACACTGTCCCTGAGCAAGGGCAAAAGTGAAAATGGTGACCTAGGACTCAATCAGAGTCTGAGATAAGGACACCTACCTGTAAATACTAGGCTGGCATTTTCAAGTTCTTCCTGTGGGACCTTGAAACTGAAAGATTCATTGTAGAAAGGATCGATTGTCCCTCTCATAAAGGAAGTCTTCTTGGTCTTCACAAGTTTGAGCCCGTGTACCAACTGGATCTTCACAAAGGGGTCTGGGGAAAGAGGTACAAAGAAGACACAGAAAGTCAGAGCCACAGGGACCCGGGGCGGGGTGTCCTTGAGCCCAACCTTCTCATTTTATGGAGGAGAAAAGGAGAGATGGAGTGAATTGCCTAAGACAGTAATTGCAAAGCCCTTAACACAGTGGTGTTTAATAATAGGTGCTTAGTAAATATTCCTTCTCCCTCCTTTCCTCACCTTCTTCCCAAAATAATTTTGTGTTCAGTCATGTGCAATTCTTCATGAACTCATTTGGGGTTTTCTTGGCAACTGGAATGGTTTGCCATTTCTTTCTCCAGTTCCTTTTTACAGACTTGCCCAGGGTCACACAACTGCTAAGTGTCTGAGGCCAGATATGAACTCATGAGTATGAATCTTCCTGATTTTAAGCCCAGTGCTCTGCCCACTATACCACCTTGCAGCCCAGCTTAATAACAGGAGCTTAATAAATGTTTCTCCTACCTCCTCTCTCTATCCTCTTCCCAAGGTCATGCAGTCAAGACTAGAACTGGGTCTCAGAACTCCCAATTCAGGCTCTTTTGCCAATGGCATAAACTGGGCCTTGGGGTGGAAATGGGATTTGAATAGGTAGAGATGGAAATGGAATACCTTGAGAATGCAGGGGCAGGAGGGAGCAAGTCAATCCTGGGAAACATTTGAGCTGTATTTCATTTCAGCTGAAATACAGCATGCATAGGGAGTAGGGCTAGTGGATTAATCTGATTGGTAGGAGGAATTCGCAAGTGAGAAAACTCATTCTACTGAGGGAGGTTAGGGCTTTGTCTGCAAACTGATAGTCTTGGAGAGTGTGCCTGTAGCACTGAATAGTTAAGTGACTGGTCCAGAGTCATGTCAGCCTGTGTAAGAGGCAAGATTTTAATTTAGCTCTCCATCCACTACCCCTGTCTATCTCTCTAGTAATGAGCAGCAGTACGAAATAAGGTTAGAAAGGTGGGTTGAAGCTAGACTATGCAGGATTTTAAACGCCAGACTAAGGAGTTTGTATTTTATCCCTGAGGCAATAGGGGGCCCCTAAAAGTTTTTGAATAAGGGAATTACATAGTCAGACACATGCTATAGGGAAGTTACTTGGGTAGCTGTGTAGAAGATGGATTGAAGAGAGGAAAGGGAAGAGACTAATATCATAAAACCTAAGTATTAAAATTATCCTGGTGAGAGGTGAAGAGGGGCCAGATCAGAGTGCTGAAAGGGTGAGGAGACAGGAAAAGACTGATATAAGATATATTGTGGAGGTAGAACTGACAAGAGTAATAATTGATTGGATTGGGAAAAGGAAGTAAAGGAAGGAGAAAATTCCAAGATAACTGAGTTTTTGGAGGATGGATTAATTAGGATGATAGTGGCCCCATCCACAAAAATAGGGAGATTAGACGGAAGAGTAAGTTTTGGAGGGAAGATTAGTTCTGATAAAACCCATTATCTCATTTGACCCTGACAGCACTCTGTGAAGTAGGTAGAGCAGGTATTACCCCCATTTTACAGATAAGAAAACCTACCTCCACTGAAGTGAAATGACTTGCCCAAAGTCATATAACTACTTGGAACTGGCTAAGAAGTAGAGTGGTGGATCAGCGGAATAGGTTCCAAGTAGTTTTGATGATTGCTGCTTTATAATACAACTTAAGATTTGGTATGGCTAGGCTACCTTCCCTTGCATTTCTTTTCATTAATTCCCTTGATATTCTGGACCTTTTGTTCCTCCAGGTGAATTTTGTTATTATTTTTTCTAGTTCTATAAAATAATTTTTGGTATTTTGATTGGCACTGAATAAATAAATTAATTTAGGTAGAATTGTCATTTTTATTATATTAGCTTGGCCTACTCTTGAGCTACTGATGTTTTTCCAATTATTTACATCTGACTTTAGTTGTGTGAAAAGTGTTTGGTAATTGTGTTCATATAGTTGCTGGGTTTGTTTTGGCAGGCAGACTCCCAAATATTTTATACTACAATAACTTTAAATGGAATTTCTCTTTCTATCTCTTGCTATTGAACTTTGTTAGTAATATATAGAAATGCTGATGATTTATGTGGGTTTATTTTACATCCTACAACTTTGCTAAAGTTGTTTATTGTTTCAAATAGTTTTTTACTTGATTCTCTAAATATATCATCATATCATCTGCAAAGAGTGATACCTTTGTTCCAGACAGTACTTTTTATGAGGTAGCTGGACTTGAAGCCGAGGAAGATGTGAGTTCACATCCCACTTCAGATGTTTACTAGCTGTGTTACTATGGGTTTCCTCATCTGTACAGTGAAAGTATTGGATTCATGTAACTTTAAGGTCCCATCCAATTCCAAATTCATTTGCCTATGTAACCTACGACTCAGGTTCAAATCCTGCCTGAGGCACTTACTAGATGTTACCCAGAGCAAGAGGGCAGCTTAGTGGTGCAATGGATAGATTGCTGGACTTAGAATCAGTAAGATTCATTCTCACAAGTTCAAATATGGCTTCAGACACTCAGGAGCTATGTGACCCTAGGCAAGTCACTTAACTCTGTTCACCTCAGTTCTCTCATCTGGAAAATGAGCTGAAGAAGGAAATGACAAGCCATTTCAATATCTTTGCCAAGAAAACCCCCAATGGGGTCACAAAGAGTCAGACATGGCTGAAATAACTCAACAACAACCCGGTGCAAGATATTTAAACCCTCTGAGCTTGAGAGAAGAATAATAACACCTATTCCAACAGATTAGAACTGGAAGGGAGCTTAAGAGATCATTGAGCTCAGCCAAACATGCCCATTTTACAGATGAAGAAATTAAAGCTCAGAGAGGTACAATGGCTGCTCAATCTCACAGAGATAAGTAAGCAACAGGAATAGGATTTAAATGGAGGTCCTTTGACTCTAATCTAGCATTCTTTATTTAAGGGTTAGCTCTTAATATTTCCACTATATTACATTAAGAGAAGAGAAAGGGGAAAAAAAGCACTTATATAGCACCTACTATGTAGCAGGCACTGTGCTAAACACTTTACAAATATAACTTAATTTGATCCTCACAACAATCCTGAAAGACAGGCACTATCATCATACCAATTTTACAGTTAAGGAAACTGAGGCAGACAGAAGAGACTTGCCCAGGGTCACACAGCTAATAAATATCTGAAGTTGAATTTGAACTCAGGTCTTCCTGACTAAAGGCCCAGCACTCTATCCACCTAGCAGCTAACTACATTAGAGTCAGTATTAAAGGCAAAGATAAGTTTGGGTATTGCCACTTTTGCCTGAAGAGCCAATGCCCTCAGTGCTTTACAAGGGATGGATACCTCAATTATACCATTTCTGCTCACATAGAAAAAGCCATTTCCTGATGAAATGAAACTAGGTTATATATCCATTCAAACTGCAAAGTTTGCTCTAAAATATGATCTCTGATATGATTTTTAAAGTTAAATATTATAAAATATAAATATCAAAAAGAGGTTTATTTTTGACAACCAAGGAGGGAAAAAATTAATTCTCAAGTTTTAGAGACTGAACTGAGAAGATGTCCTTAGGTTATTTGGCATAGCAGAAAGAGCTGTGGATTTTAGGGTAGATGAAGTGAGTTTAAATTTAAGTGGCATTAATTCTTATTCTCAGAGAGGTGCCATGGGAAGAATAATGGATCTGGATTCAGAAAACCTGGATTTGAATCCCAGCTCTGTTACTTGCCACATGTGTGACTTTAGGCAAGTTATTTAACACTCTGGGTCTCAGTTTCCTCATTTAAAAAAGGGAAGAGATTAACTTAGATGACCTCCAAGGTCTCTTGCAAAAGAAGACCCCAAACAGGGTCACAAAGAGACACAACTGAAAATGAGTAAACAAAACTATATAGTTGTAAATTATCATCATTATTAATGAAAATGATATATCTGCAAACTGTAAAGTTCCATATAAATCCCAATAATGATGATGATGATAATGATTGTAATTCAAGATATGTATTCCCTACTGTTCAAATTTCCTGGGTTTTGAACATGATTGCCCCCTGCTGTCATTATTCCTAAATTGCAAAAGTAGCATTTTGAGATATCAATCTATAAGCATTTATTAAGTGTCTACTATATGCTAGACACTGTGCTAGTCAATGAATTCACAAATACAAAATTCCTTTAGAAGTTAAATGTACATATGGAAATGTTTTATATGGTTACACATGTATAACCTATACCAGATTACTTATCATCTCAGGGAGAGGGTGGGGAGGGAGGGAGGGATAGAATTCTGAACTCAAAAACTTTTAAAAAATGTTAAAAATTGTTTTTACATGTAATTTGGGAAAAAATAAAATATTATTAAAAAATAAGGTGAGACATGGCACTTATAAAAAGAAGAAGACTGGAAAGGTAGGAGAGAGCTAGGTTATAAAGGGCTTTAAAATCCAAAGAGAATAGAAATATGCATAATATGCTTTTACACACATACCTACATGCCTACACACACAACACAGACATATATACATATATACACATACACACATATGTACATATATGTCAAATGGTAGACTTCTCTAGTTGCAGAGAAGGGAGGGAAAAATTTGGAACTTAAAATGTAACAAAAAAAAATTTAAAAAGAAGTTGAATCATCAAAATCATATGGGTATAGAGGTAGAGCATTGGACCTGGAGTTAACAAGACCTGAGTCCAAATCCTGCTTCTGTGACCCTGGATAAGTCACTTAACTTTTGTCTGCCTTAGTTCCCTAAACTGTAAAATGGGGATGATTATAGAACCTACCTCACAGGATTGTTGTATCAAATGAGATAATATTTGTAAAGCACTTAGCACAGTGCCTGACATATAATAGGTGTTTAATAAATCTTTTTTCCTTTCTTCATGAACTGACAGCATTTGTCAAATGTGGTCTCAGACATATTTCTAGTAATAGGTCTCCAGTTGGGTCACCAAGATAGTATTCACTAGCTTCCCTAAGTGAGAGAAATATGAGGGGAAAAAAGTTCCCTCTACCATTCAACATTTTGTAAACATTTATTGTTGACAAAGCTCTTTGCCAGATGTGAAGATTAAACAAAACAAAGATTCTGGGTCCATTTCCCTGACCTGCCACTCTCCCCGAGTATTTTGAAAAACCCTCCTTGACCAACCAAGGAGAAGTGAACCTGTAGCCTCCCACTCCCAGGTACTCCCTTCACCTGAGGAAAACTCTGCACTTTGTCAACAGACTTATCTTTACCTGAGCCTTGGCTCATGTCAGTCTGAAGAAGCTGCTTGGCTCTTATCACATCAACATTCAATCTTCCAGCACTTGGGAGATAATTCAGTGACAGCAACAGCTCTCCCAGCTCCACTTCATTCTACGGAGAAAGAAGATGGTAAGGAGTTAAAAAATGACAGCCACAGTGCTTTCTGAAAGTGAATAAGTCAGCAATCTCAGCCACATTTTTTAGAGTCAAAAAAATCCACCAAACTACAATAATACTATATTTTATCCTGGAAGAAGAGAAATTGTAATCATGTCTTACATTGTTAGGACGGATCAGGTATTTGGAGTTGGTAGGGACCTTAGATCATCTAACTCAGCCTACTCATTTTGTAGATAGGATTTGCCCAATATCTCCCAGCTAGTAAAAGACAGAACTAGGATTCAAACTCTGGTTTCAAACTCCAAAACTCAACCTCTTTCTACTGCACTTTCCCACTTTCTCTCTTTCATTGGGTCCTCCTAACAGGTCTAAGAGGCATCATAAAATCACAGAATTTTGGACGGCAGTGGCCAATTAGTCTAAAACACAATAAAAAAGAAATCCCCTTGACTAATATGATGGAAAAGGAAAATAATAAATGTTGGAGAGGATGCAGGAAAATTGGGACACTAATGTACTGTTGGCAGAGTCATGAGCCGACCCAACCATTCTGGAGAGCAAATTGGAACTATGTCCAAAGGGCTATAAGACCATGCATACCCTTTCACCCAGCAATACCACTATTAGGTCTATATCCCAAAGAGATCAAAGAAAGGTGAAAAGGATGTATTTGCACAAAAATATTTATAGCAGCTCTTTTTGTGGTGGCAAAGAATTGGCAATTGAGGGGATGCCCATCAAATGGGGAATGGCTGAACAAGTCGTGGTATATGAATGTAACAGAATATTACTGTGCTATAAGAAATGATGAGCAGGCAAATTTCAGAAAAACTTGGAAAGATTTATATGAATGGCAAGTCATTTAACCTCCATCTGACTCAGTTTCTTCAATTGTAAAATGTAGGTAACAACACTACCTGCTCCCCAGGGTTGTTGTGAGGATCAAATAAGATAATATTTGTAAAGTGATTAGCACTGTCCCTGCACATAGTAGGCACTTAAATCCTTGATCTCTCTCACCTCTGGCACAATGCTTAGCACACACTAGATACCTAACACATACCTGCTGAACTAATAAATGTAAAGGTATTTCTTTGTAAAGGAAAAAGAAAATCATAGACCAGTTTCCCAAACTGTTTCCAACACTCCCTCAGCAGAAGCAGTGACTCAGAGGCTTAAAAATACATAAATAAATTGATCATGCCCAGGAGACCACCAAGTCACTCCTCTGATTCTAATAGCAAAAAGGAGAAATGGTTTCCTTTTTCACTCAGCAGATAATAACATCCTGTGTCTGGAAGGACCATCAGTGGGTTCACAGCCTGAACACAGTGTAGCATAGATAAGAGGTATCCTAAAGGGGAGACAGCTGTGGTTTAAATCAGTAGGCTTTTTCCAAAGCCCTTGGCTTCTCAAAGTTCTTTTCTACCACCCCCCCTTTGCCCTGCCAACCCATGCACTCCCAGTCTTGGAAGCTTTAAATGCCATTGATGGCATGAACACTACGAGAATTCCAAGGCTTAATTCTCTCAACTCAGCTTCCTCAAGATCACTTGGACAATCTCACAGCTACTACAACCAGGGACAAGATCAGAAGGTAACACTTTTCACAGAAAGTGTCCCTGAAAAATAGCTCATGTCCAGGACAGAAGTGCCACTGAATTCTTCTGGAGCCTCAAGGAGGCATTGACTGTGCTTGCAAGCCACAGAAAATTTTGTCCCTCGAGGGCTCATACATCAGACTAACAACCAAGCAGGTCTCCTTTTTTAAAAATTTAACCAGATTTCATCTTGAGATGCAATTTGTGGGGAGAGGGTGAAAGGGAAGCACGGGGAGGAAGGCAAAGGGGGAAAATGTCTAATTCAATCAATGTGGTTGATATAACATTGAAGAAATTTAATTCTATAAACCTAGCATTGTTTGGGGGTTATTTCTTTCAGAGATGGGGCCAACTGAAGGATAATTTAGTCTAGTGAGAAATTAGACTACATTTCAGTATAATTGCATTAGGACATGGGAGGGGGAGAAAGAGAAAATAAAAAGTACCCAGTATGTCTTAGAAAAAATTTAATTGTACATGCAATTACTGCTTTTCAATCCAGATGTCAGCATAATGCTCTCTCATCATTCCCCACATCTGGTTTCATACCCCAGGATCCCTGTCTGTGAAACAGTCTGTAGAGAACAGTTTGAATTTAGGCAATTTAGGATAAAAGATTCCTTTATTATATTCCTTTATTACAAGAAAGGGTCTACTACCTCTACCTAACCCCAGCTATAAAATCCTGTCACCAACATTGCCTTTTCAAAGTGGCCCTATAAGATTTAGCCCCAAATAACCAACTATTATGACTAAATCTTCATTAGGTAGAGACAAAATTGACAGCCTCCCATCTACCCCAGAAACCTTCAGAAGTAAGGTGGTTGGGGGCAGCTAGGTGGTGCAGTGGATAGAGCACTGGCTCTAGAGTCAGGAGTACCTGAGTTCAAGGCCTCAAACACTTGATACTTACTAGCTATGTGACCCTGGGCAAGTCACTTAACCTTGACTGCCTCACCAAAAAAAAAAAAAAAAAAAGAAGTAAGGTGGTCAATAGAGGTAGAAGAATAAATACCTACTAAAACTAGTACCTTGATTCTATAGCTGGAGAAGGGGTTATATACTGGGGCATATTTGTCCAGTTCTCTCAGTTGTAAAGTGGGAATAACAACAATAATCCTACCTACTTCAGAGGGGCTACTTCGAGGATGGCATCATCTCCTGCTCCCTTGTCATTTTTAGGCTCATTACCTTGCCATCCACACTCATGCCGGGAAGAACTTCCACAATTTGGCTATTTCTTCTGATTGGCCACTGCCTCTACAGACTACTGTGTCAGGAAAACCCCAGCCTCTACTCTTCACTTCACTCACCAGACATCTGCTTCACAGTCTCACCAATTACCTTGCCACCACAGATATAACCTTTTCATCACTCTTCCCCCAATTCTGGAACTGTGCACTAGGATCAAATCAACTCTATCATTGTTCATGAATGGAGTGTATCAATCTGCTGGCCTGTAGCCCCAGTCACCAACCTGGCAAACTGCTACCTAAATGTCCCCTTCCTGGTCACCACTCTCCTGTGTTGTCTCGCCCATTAGACTGTAAGCTCCTTTGTAGAACAGGGACTGCCTTTGCTTTTGTATTTGTATCCCCAGGACTTAGCACAATGTTTGTAATAAGTGGGAATAAAGTAATAAGTGATTAATAAATGCTTTTTCATTCATTGTTGTTAATGTGATCTCATGTTACCTATTTTTTTTGTACTTTTGGAACTGGGGAGAGGAAATAGTAACCATGACTTCAAGAGAATTTGCTCAGTCAACTTTGGGGAATGAGAGGATTGTTAAGAGGTTCCAAGGGCTCTGAGATATGAGGAAGGCCCCCAGTTCCTTTATTGTGCCCAAGGAAACAAATTGTGGATTTCTAATGTTCAGGAACACAACTCCCAAGTATTACTTTTGAAAGCTAACCATTTGTCATTCTCATTACCCTTTTCAAGCAAGCTTAATTTTGCCTTTCTCAGGCACAGAAACAAAGAAAATACTCTTCCATCCTATTATCTGTGGACCCTGCTTTTCATTATACATGAATCTATAATGTGGCATCTGGTGATTTCCCAGTGAAGCATCTCATTGGCATGTCCATACTTTCCTGCCCAGGCTGATGACCTATAATCAGCAACATACTCCAATTCAAAGTCCTTGAGTTAAAATTCAGACCCAGGAATAGGTGGACATGTCAACTTCCCATGATGCTTCTCAATGACACACGTGCATGCCCTTGATATTATGTCAATCACCAGAAACTCAACTTCAGCCTCCTCTCCCCAAGCAATGCCCCCACCTCTTATGGGATACCAAAACCTAAGTAAAGCCACGAAGCTGACACTCTGAACATCTCGTAACCCCTAGACCTCTGGATCACACAACTGGAAAAATCATCACACTACATTCAATCAAAGAACAAGCAAGCATTTGGAAAAGAAAGCCTCTTTGGGCCTCTTCTCCAAAGCTTTAGCTTACAATGTATCTGCCTCAATGGAATGGACCAGGTTCCTTCCTACATTTTTCTTACTACCTACCCATCCCTGGATGGGATACACATGGCCTCTCAAGAGGTAACTTCAGAAGGTCCAGGGAAGAGCTGCTACTTATCCCTGGAAGATCTGAAATGCAGCTCTGTGAATTATTCCTTTCTCCATCTTGATTTAGTCAGGCAGGAGTAGATCTCACATGGACACACACATAGATCTTTGCAAAGAGATTTCAAAAAAATCGATAGGGCTTCTAAGAGCTTATTTGACCTATTAAAAATTCTTTATTCTACTTTCCCTTCCCCCCAAGTCTCCATTTACAAAGTCTGGAATGTGGCTCTGTGTCTAACTTTAGCCTCAGTGGTTTTGACAACAGATTTCTGAAAGCACATGCATGTTGTTTTAAAAGGAATGGAGTATAGAGGGAGGGCAAGAGAATCAAAGGGGAAAGACCTTAACAGAGCTCAGCCAAAACCTGGCTGGATGCTGGGGGTGACCCTTTCAGCTCAATGAATCTCCCAGAACTTTTCAGGTGCCATTAGGACCTAAATAAGGCCCACAAAAAAGAAAGAACAGTTAGGACTACTTGTAACAGGAATTACAGTAACTATGTTGTTCCATGGAAAGACTTACATTAACTGACACAAAATACAGTAAGAAGAATGAGAAAAGCAGAGCAGCATAAGCAAAATGACAACTTTATAGCATTCCATGTCATGAAATTATAATCAAGTTTGGCTCCATAGAAGAAATATGAGAATATCTTCCTCTACTTTTTTGCAGAGGAGGAGGACCACAAATATGGAACACAATATGCAAAAGACTTTACTTCTATTGATCACTTTTCTTTCTTAGTGTTTTTTTTTAATTTCTTTATTAAAAGGGATGGCTTACTTGGAGGGATAGGAATAC